TTTCTACAACTCTTAATAGATACCATAAAGTTGATAGACACATGATGTTAACAATTAAAATTTTACCACGTAACTGAAGCCCTCTCTGCCTCCAGAGATTAAGTATTCTGCCAATTTTATTAACCTTGGAATCACAATTTGATCGTTCACACATTGCTTCATCTGGACCCAAATACACACCGAGGAACTTTGCCGCTCCATTTAAAACTTTAACTGGTAAAGAGTCCGGATTTGAAACAGAGGCACTGCCCGCTAATAAGAGCTCAGATTTCTCGGCGTTAATTTTGGCTCCCGAAGCCGAACAATAAACTCCAACTGTGGATAAAGCTTCATTTACAGAATCTAAATTAGATAATGACAAAGTTGTGTCATCAGCGTGTTGAAACACGGTTGAATTATAATCACACCCAGGAACAGCAAAACCCTTGATATTCTCATTAGACTTAATTAGTGAATTTAATGGAACTGAGGTTAATACATATAACATGGCCGAAATTCCACATCCTTGGCGAACAGAGCGAAGGATGGGGAATGATAAAGAGACATGCCCGTTTACCTTTACCGAACTTCTAATGTCTTTATACAAGATTTTAATAGAATTGATAAATTTCTCACCAAATCCAAATTTATGTAATAAATTGAACATATAATCATAGGAAACCCTGTCAAATGCTTTCTCGGCATCTAATTTCAAAAGATACAGAGGAAGATCTTCAAGTTCAGCAAGGAAATAAGGTCACGTATGTTAAGAATATTGGTAGCAATATCCCTGCCTGGAACACAACAAGACTGATCAGGCGATACAAGATCAGCTACTACTGTTTTTAATCTTCCTGGAGAAGATCTTGTAATCAACATTTAAGAGACTTATAGGTCACCAATTACGTAATTCAGTTTTATTACCACGCTTTTTGAAAAATAACGAAATTGTCCCTCTCCTCATGGAATTACTGAGCTCTCCTAACTCCTGTATAGTAGAAATAACTTGAAAATAATATTTTCCTAAAATGTCCCAAAAATGCAGATAAAATTCGACAGTAAGTCCGTCCGGACCGGGAGATTTCCCTTTCTTCATGCCCTTTAAAGAATTGTACAATTCATGAATGGAAATATCAGACTCACAATATTTAGATTTAGCTTCATCTAACTGATCAGTAATTAAATCAAATAACTTATTTTGATTGGCCTCATTAATTGGTTCATTTGTATATAGTTTTGTATAAAATTTAACACATTCTTCAAGAATTTCAGGAGTTGAATTGACAATAGAACCGTCAGATTTTTTCAAAGTTTTAACAATATTACTCTCCTGTTTAAATTTTTCTAAATTAAGAAAATAACGTGAGCATTTGTCTGTATCAAGAGCATCACGGGTTTTTGATCTAAGTATAGCCCCGTCACATATCTGTTTTTCATATTGTTCAAGTCTATTCTTTAGTTCATAAATGTGGGTATAGTCATAATCTTTAACTGTGTTGGCTTTAGTATAATGAAAATTTAACGCAGTCTGAATCTGCCAGAAATCTTCCTGCTCTTGTTTTCTCCTTTTCTGGGCATGTAAAATACTAAATTGTTTTATACGGTATTTCAAATTGTCCCACCATACTAATTGTTCCGTTTTATATAAAGGACAGGAAAGGGATTTACTAATTAATGATTTGACACCTTCACAAAATTCATGTTCTTTAAGATACTTATTGTTAAAGATCCATAATCCAGGCCCTTTATCATAGTTGTTAAAATTGAGAATTGCAGTAACGAAACTATGATCACTTGTTGTAGTATGGGATATAAAACAATAAGATATAAACATCAGAATCGATGACGTGGTAAATATATAGTCCAATCGAGACTGCTTCAACACACCCTGTACGAATTGTTGACGCGTAAAAGTATCTTTGCCTGGGTTTTTCCTTCGCCAAATGTCAAATAAATTATTAGTAGACGCAAAATCAAAGAGATCCTTGATTGACCCACCGTAAGCAGGCATATTTTTAGATCGATCAGCAAACCCGTTCATTACGTCATTGAAATCTCCACAAACTATATATGTCACAAAACAACAATCATTAGATAATAATAATTATTTACTAATTATATAAATCATTTTAAGAGGTAGGAGTTATCCGTTGTTTAATTTAACAGTTATATCATTGAAATGAAATGAAATGAAATGGAATTTAACGTCCTACTGTTCTGCTCCTAACCTGGGCTAATGAAGACGGGCATACGCCATACAGTGTGCTATGAGGGAAATTTTGCCCGGACAGCGGCACTACGGCCTACTCTTATATCGAATTCCAACTGCCAAGGGATCTTTTACGTGCACGCCAATGTGTACACGGGACCTTGGTTTTTCGTCCCATCCGAACGACTAGACAGCTTTCCTTGTCAGCCCCTCCGTCCTGCATCACTGACAAGGGAGAACCACGCCGGAAAATCTGGATGAACTTTTCTGACAATAGTTATATCATTACCCTGGTTAGAAAAATACGAACAATTAAGGTATTTAAACAAATGGTTACGAAAGTACATAACACTATAGACTTCTATGATAAGACATATAATATATGTTTAATATATATATAAATGAAAATGTCCTACTTTAACAAATAATGAAATATAATAGTATCAGTAAATATAAAAAAACAAAGTAGTCGCGAACATCTTGGCTCTTGACTGCTTCAGTTGTTTGATCCTGGACTCTGTCTGTAATTAATAGTAAACTTTTACATGACGTCAAATCTTTAACGTGCACGAAACCAGAAAATTGGCGATATTTAATTTTTGAACCAGTTACATATTTCAATAGCTGACATGAACGCGATTCCGAAGTCCCGCAAAAAAGTTCCCTTGGCAGTTGGAATTGTATATAAGAGTAGGCTAGCGCCGCTGTACGTTCGAAACATTCCTCATGGTCCATTCCGAGCAGAATGTCGTTAAACCCCATTTCATTTTACTTCGATATCTATTGCGACATTGCTTTTCGTCCATTTCGCAAAACTGTTCTTTTTCCATTTCGCGTAGATCAACTTTATTTTTCGATTCCCTTCTAACGTAATGCGCATGCAAAGAACATGTCAATATCTGAGTTATGCAAATGCGTGTTTTTATTTGGGGGTGGGGGAGTGTGTGTTTGTTTAGGGGGTGAGAGATGGGGATAGTCTTTTGTCATGCATCTGGCGATCGTGTGACGCCTTGGCGACAGTGAAAGCCTTCAGCATTGCACGCAATTCTAGTGATGATTGTTTTTACCAAAAAAACAATCATCCAACACGTTGGCCGTTTTATTTTCCACTTGAGTATATCTTAGAAATTACTTTTCGGATCGATCCGATATCTTTGGTTTTACAGGAAAAATGGCATGGCTTAGAGATTAAATCTATTTAGAACATTCTGCAACAGTGCGAAATGTCCGAAATCACCGAAGTTGGTTTTCTAAAAAATATTGCCGTAACATTAACAATAATATCAGGATTTTAACATATGATCCATTTTTACATAACCAGAGACAAGGCATATAGCTACGGGTCTTCCGATTTTTGACTTTCGATGAATCTTCAGGGATATTAGGCGCCAAATTTTGAAAATTTAAATTTTTACAAAAAACTTTTTTATTAATGAATATTTCTTTATGGCATTTTATCCAGGGCTAAAGGGTGGTCTGATTTGACCAAAAGTGTCAACAATTTTTGTCTAGATAATTTTGCTTGGCCGCATTGGATAGTTCAGTTTTTCGCTCCTAGATTGATTATTTATTGTTCGATTTGTTTAAAACAAAATTCATATTCTCCTTTATCCAAAATGTCATTTTTTTGTTACCGATACAGTTATCTGTCGGCACCGGAAGTGACATAATTTTAACAAAAACTATAATTTTGACAGTTCAGTACCACTTTTTGAAAGCAAATATTATTTTTTCAAAATTTGATATTACCAAAAGGATGCGTCATGCAAAGGCGCACAAAACATCGGACTCGGATTTTTTAATTTCGATTTCGTTTTCGGGCTATTTCGATTAAAAGGTGAAAAACGGTGTAAAATTAAGCTATTTACAACCCATTCAGCGTCTTCATATTTTAAAATATTTCTTTGTAACTTTCATAAACTCGTAGCAATAATCCATACGAAGAGAATGTATGTGAAAATTAGATTGTACTATGAGCAGTTGCCTAGAAATAGGCAATTTTGCACGCGTCACTTTTCACGTTATTTTGCCTGTAAAGGGGTCAATTATTGTTCGATTTTCAGTTTTTTTACTATTTGTGGCCTTTTGCCAATTTTGACTAGGTCAAACAAATTTAACATGTTCACTGTCACCGGAAATGACATCATTTGGGCAAAATTTGTATTTTTAGCCTGAAAATAAGATGTTTTATTGAAATGTTTTTAAAATTATGATATTTGATTTAAATTAACAAATAGAATAAACCCATACGATCATACAGATACCACAAAATGTTTTTTAACTTGTACGGTTGAAGAGAAGTAGACAATTTTCTACAAGTCACTTTTCATGGTTTTTGGCCCGCAAAAGTGTCAATTATTATCAGATTTTCATAAATTTTCACCATGTGATGCCTTATACCATTTTTAATTTTATAGAACTAATTTAACATTTTCATTATCACCGGAAGTAATGACATTTTGGCAAAAACTTTATTTTAAGCCTTGAAAACAAATATTTTTTTTTTTAAGTGGGATATATTTATTATTTGTTTAACAATATGATATTTGATTCCAATGGACATATAAATTGGATCAATATGATCATATAGATGTCAAAAAAATGCTTCTAATATCTTCCCTTGTCGAGAAATATCCAATTTTCTCAGGATCACTTTTTACAACGTTTATGTGGAAATCTGTTTATCGGTTTCATTGGTACTGGAAGTGATATGAGTTCAAGGGTAACGTGGCACCAATGAAAACCCGTAATTACTGCTTCGCAGTTCTAGTTATTTTTGTTGCTTCTAGTTTTGTTACCTTTTTCATTTCAGATCCGATGGGATATGTTAGAGTAGTCTTAATTAGCAACCCAGTGGGCAGTCAAACAGATATCAGCTCTATTACCAGACCCAAGCGCCAGCAGGATACACAAATATGCGACCAACAACTATTTGTTGTGCCGGCATCTAGTACTATGAGCCAACCAAGAACAGTGAGAGTATTAGATTCTCCATTACAACGGGATAATATTTCATGTCGATTAACCGTTGAAACTACACCGCATAATGCTGACGACGATACAATGGTGAAGACGTGCATCGAAGGAAGCAATGGCGATATTACTGAACTTGCACAATATCTTAATACTCTGTCTTCTATAAAGACAATGATAGAAAATACCCTGTCTTCTATAAAGACAATGATAGAAAATAACCGAACACCCATTTCATATTATCAAATGTATCACTCCATGCAAACACAGATGTGGAAAATATTTCAGGAAATGGAGAATAGTAATGTTTATAATCCTTTAGAGTTGCGAAGTGCACATTTCCATTTTATGGACACATTTTCTTCCATCCATGCAGTACTTGACTAGGCCTTAATTAAAGATAAATGGGGCATACCTTGCGCTCGTCTTTCTCGATTGGGATATTCCGTATTTTTATATTAGCGGGAAAAGGTTGTGTATAAAGATTGTCTGCAATATCACTTCGGTGGATCAGGGTGGAAGCGAACGTTAAATAAAGCTATTTCACACGCGCGTATAGAGTCAATAGTTAAATTCAATGACATTTTTATCACTTTCATTCTCAGGAAACAAAAATTATCAGGATTTTTTTTTTCTGTATTTGAAAATGAAATTTCTGTTAATTGAAGGGATTTCTGTAAATTACAGGAAAAACAAATACGGATAAAATATTCCTGGTAATTTTTGTTTCCTGATTTTTTTACGTTTTTTCACGGATTTATTTGTTACAGTGTATGGGGAATTGTATCTCCGTAAGTTATATTGAGGTAAAACCGAAATTATTTCTAACGAGTTACATTTCTTGAATATCGATAATGCTCCTCCTTCAAACATGCCGAACAATCCCAGCAAGTTTGTATAGAAAATCTAAAAAAAATGCTGACCTGTTGAAACTTTACAAGAATTTTTGCATAAGGCTTAACGTCCGCTTCCACCTTGGCTGATATCGCCAGAAGAGCCAGATAGTAGGGTAAGTCAAGCATGAGTACGTTCGTTTGATCGTTCCTGGAGTTTTACGCCCACTTCCACCAAGGGTGATTTCGTAGACAAGGGCATGGGTAGGAGACGACTGGCCTTTATAAGTTCACATGTGACGTCTAGAATTTAATTTGCAAAATGAAAAAAATAAATAAATAATATTGTGAGCTAATTAACCCACACCGATATTTGATATTTGAATATGTAAAAATGATGTTCTAGTATATGTTAGATCTCAAAGTTAAACAATTAGGCAAAATAGGAGTTAGAATTTCTCGTTTTAGAATGTTAGTAATAGCGTTATATAACGCATCGCTGTATATAGAGCCGGCTACTTAATGCCAACATTTTCAAGGCCTAATCCCTTAATAACATTGACCATATGGGGTGTTCCCACTTAGCCGACAGGCTTTGATGTCAAATTTTGCCGCTAATCCAGAGTTAATCCTAGAACAATGGTGTTATAAACTATAGTCCATATCTTTTTTAAGACTAAAACTGTATTGATTTTAACAAATTTAACTTTTATTAAATAACATTAGATAGCTTACACATATAAAAATATATTGATTTTAACAAATTTAATATTTATTAAATAACATTAGATAGCTTACACATATAAAAATATATTGATTTTAACAAATTTAATATTTATTAAATAACATTAAATGATTTACACATATAAGAACATCATTCTTGGTGTTTACAGTAGCTGGACAAGTTTTTGTTGAACATTTCCAATGGACGGCATTTGGTCTGCTTGACTTTTATACTGAACTTATAACCATTGTGTATTAAATATCAGCCACCTCGATTATTGGAGATAAAGCGAATATTAACCTGAACGTTTGCCATTTTAAAATAAATATAATTTCGACACAGATCGACCATCTATTTATATTAATATAGTGAATTGAATTCATGTTTGAAATCATAACGCCGGCATGAACTGTGTTCAAAATGTCATTAATTAGTTGGTTCATAAATTTTATTAAGAGGGATTAAGAGCTCATTAACGCTGAACACTAGTGAACAGTTCTTGAGTGACTACTTTTAAACAGACTATAGTTTTAAGATCAATCAAAGGATTAACAGTCTGCCGGCTAAGTGGGAACACACCGACCATATGTTACCTTAATTGCTCCGAAATCTTAAAAGGGTTACGTGTCCGGATAAGCGGTTTTGACGTTCACGTGCAAAAGACTCAATATTTTGAGCTGAAATTTTGAGACAAGGTAAATACACCATTCATCTATATTTTGGGGCTTAAATTTCATACATACACGGTCTTTTATTTCTGAGACTCTGTTAAAATCGGAATGGTCCGTTTAAATATAATGCACGCTTTACCCAAATCCTTCAATCTAATCGTATTGATTTTAATGAAATTTCTCTGTTTGAAAGTTACTAGTTACATATCGTGTCCATCGATTTAACTGAAACTAAAACCAACAAAACGGAAAAAGATGCATGCTTGAAAGAAAATGTTCAAATAAAGACTTTCACTGAGATAAAAATTTAGTATTTGTGGTATTTGGGTGTTAATAAACCGTGTCCGAGCTGGTATATAGATTGTTTAACCCAAAGTGTTAACAATAGGAAATCTGAGTCTACTATGTTAATAGGATATTAAATCAAATTTTATTGGTTTTAATGAGCTTTTTCTTTCTTTATTTTTTTTATTTATATACATTAGTTAAATATGTGGTTTTGTCATCGGGATTTTCCGGCGTGGTTTCACCTTGTCAGTGGTGCAGAACGGAGGGCCTGACAAGGACAGCTGTCTAGTTTTTCGGATGGGACGAAAAAACGAGGTCCCGTGTACACATTGCCGTGCACGTAAAAGATCACTTGGCAGTTGGAATTCGATATAAGAGTAGGCCATTTTGATGGATTGGAGAATCCCTTGCGTACAGTATTATGAAAGTTAAATCTCCAAAAAGAATGACAGTCTTAAAATGATTCAATTCAGTTTAGTATTTACAAAGATGTGATAAATTAAATTTTAATCAACATTCAGCATCCTCCGCAGACGATATAATAAACAAGATATGCTAATACTAATCAATCAGTATGAGCCCATTTCAGTATAGATTAGCCGTGGAAGTTTTGATATTTTTCGAATAATGCAAATGGCAAAAAGATACTTTAACTTGAATTACTTTAAGTGTTTCCAAAATTAGTATTTTAGCATTTCTCACCTCCCCACCATAACTTATAACAATCCCGGAACCCTCGTGTAGCATAAATGAGGATTAAAGAGCTTCAACCAAAGAAATGAAATAAAACATAACGTCCCGCTTTTCGGCACCAATCGGGTTAATGAATATGGAGAGATGAGGACAATTTTGCCCTGACAGTGGCGCTACGACCTACTGTTATTTGGAATTACAACTGTCAAGGATTCTTTTACGTGCACACCGACGTGTACATGGGACTTTTCGTCACACCCGAACAACTAGACACTGTCCCTTGCCAGACCCTCCGGTCTGGAAACCCATGGAAACTTTCTCACCAGCACCGGGATTAAACCCGGAACTTCCAATTAGTGAGCCACTGTGGCTCCTAGAACCAAAGATGGGATGCCACTTTATAATGTATCCTTTTTCAATGTACCTCAGCGTGTCTTCAAAACACTTATGACGCCCTAGTTATCTTATATGTAGGCCAAGGGTCTGCCTTTTCTACCTTTGGCTGATAGCGAGGTAAGGGGAAGTAATAACTATAGTCTTTGTCCCATATGGATGCAGACCCCCAAAACTTCCACCAATTACCATGTACTTCAAGTCTTCTACTCATGTACATATATATGCGGATTGCGAGCATACATACGATTGTGATTGTAGGACTTGAGAAGTAAAGGATACTGTCGTCGGGTGTTTGACCAATTGACGGACCACCTTTTTTGTGGCAATGAAGGCAGAGAAGGTGGCAAATAGCGTTTGGAGCCAGATGGATGTTTTATTGTGTGAATATGTTGACGCCCCCCCCCCCCAATTATAATCATTACATTATTAAGCTACTGGTTAGAATATGAAGACAAATAATTAATTTAAAGGTGTGTTCCTTCCAGCATTAGTTCATCAATCCAAAAATAAATAGATGACATTCATGAATTATTTTATCATTTAGCCTTTTGTGACGCACCGGGCAATCAAATTGCTTACCACTCTGCTTACCATGCTTAAATTTTAAAAATGCTAATTATCGAAATTAGTGAAGGTATTGGTGTAATGAAACTATACACCAAGTTTCAGCACTCTCACTTAATTAGAATCGAAGTAATTGTGTCCTTAAATCTCTACTAGTTAAATTGTTGATCTCTGCTGGGTCTACTACTGTGTCGTCTAATCAAATTGCTTATGTGTACGTTTTCAAACCGAAAATGAGCACCAATGAACTATATCCCAAGTTTCATCACCCCCGTCCAATTGGAATCAAATTTATCGTGTTCCAAAGTCTCGACCAATTAAATTTATTATCTATGCTTAGCCTTAGCGCAAACTTTTTATCACCAAACACAGTAAAGACATTCACCTAAATTAAATGAAAATCTGCAGTAAGTTTAAGCATTTTACCTCAATAATTAGAAGCAGAATTACTGTGTCCCAAATAGTGAGACGGGTTAACCTTCGAAAGGCTGGTGACAAGAAGTCAAGCATTACAGAGTTAATCATTGAAGTATCTCGAAAAATAAGATATTTTAATAAACTAATATTTCAGTAACATTATCAAGGTATTAAACTTTAAAGCGGTTTCAATATGTAAATAGTTACTTTTAGACGTGGGTATATTTAAAGAAAGAGAAAAAAAAAATCAAGGTTTTTATGTAGGTGAATACTAGTATTATGTGATCAACTGTTGTGCCTAATGGTGTTGACGTCTTTAGAACTTAGTGAACGTGAAAATATCTCCACTTTCTTCACTAACCTAATAATATGATTACCTTAGCCTATCTTCTAGTCCTATAGAACTAATGTACTAGATGCTGTACATATCATAACCTTATTTACTAATCAAATTGTGGATAATCCCATTACTCGCGTGGCTCTCAGAAATGATCCACTTCCAATTAACAAATGCTACTCCTTGCCAGGAAATATTTATATTTATCAAGCTTCAAAGAACTGATTTTAATACTATATACAAGACTGATTGGTAGTAGTGAAAACCCTTTGCTTGTGGGTGAATGGACTATATACACAAGGTGGGTGGGGGTGAGGGGCTTTCGTCGACCCACTTGTGTGGGTTTACATTTAGGGGGAAAATATTCGACTCGTCAATAACTTTGCTGGATAATAAGACAAACGGCACCCCAGATCTAGATTGGTGTCTTGTTATTAATTAATGGTTGCTTCTGTAAGTTTTGTCAGGTCATAAACTCGATCAGTAGTAGACTTTCCGCTTCTAGACTTCATCACGACAATGCGCGATAGTCGGACCAACAGAACCGACTTTCCCCGTCTTCAGTATTATTTTGATCTAACCAGTAGTGCATGATGCACAGAAGTGTTTTCTATGTACCTAAATAGGTTTATCTAATTTTCCAGCTTAAAGATACATTATGCAAGGGCTGACTGCTCTTGCTATAATAGTTCAAAAGTAGATAATGCAAAATGAATATATTGAAAATTTCATTCAAATTACTTTATTCTGAGCCAAATTATCATTGTTTGTAGTTTTGTGGTGAACATTTAATTGATTGTTTATTATCGTAACCACGGTACTGGGGTATATTCGAGACTTAGCCTAGCTTCTCTATTTTTAAATTAAATCATTAAATGGCCGAACCGTTCTAATCTATTTAAAATCTCGAGCATTCTATGGCATCGAGGGTTGATCATGGTCTTGTCATGTTAATAAATGCCTAATTAATAATTAATATGGCTCGCTCTAGTCTGGAGGTCGGGTGTTCGATCCCTGCATAGGCCGAGAAAGTTCATCCAGATTTTCCGGCGTGGTTCCCCCTTGTCATTGATGCAGGACGGATGGCCTGACAAGGACAGCAGCCCTGTCTAGTCATTCGGATGAGACGAAAACCCGAGGTCCCGTGTGCACATTGGCGTGCACGTAAAAGATCCCTTGACAGTTGGAATTCGATATAAGAGTAGGCCGTAGTGCCGCTGTCCGGGCAAAAATTCCCTCATAGCACACTGTATTATTATTATTATTATTTATAAGCGTTTATATAGCGCCATTTCCACAAAAGTGCTCAATGACGCTTTACAATAAAGATAATATGATTGATAAAACAAATATAAGATTAAAATTTAAAAAGTGAATAATATACATAAAAGTGGAGTAAAAGGAAGTATTGCATAAAATATAAATATAGTTATCACAGAGATGATTAATTAAAAGCCCTATTAAACAAGTGCGTTTTTAGAGAAATCTTAAATGATGACAGAGAAGTGCATGACCGAATGGAATGGGGAAGTTTATTCCACAGTTTGGGGGCAGCTACCTCAAAAGCCTTCTCGCCGAAACTGACGAGATTAGCTTTTTTCTCAATAAGTAGCAGATTGTCACCGGAAGACCGTAATTGTCGACGAGGTTCATAAAAACCTAAAATATTACTAAGATAAATAGGTGCCATGTTATTTATACATTTAAAAACTAATAATAAAATCTTATATTCAATTCTAAAAATAATAGGAAGCCAGTGTAGTTTATATAGAATAGGTGTAATATGATCCCTATATACTGCTCCAGAAATAAGGCGAGCAGCTGAGTTTTGTAATTTTTGCAATTTTTCAAGATGTTTGAGGGGTGCACCGTACAGGACAGAATTAAAAGAATCAATACGCGAAGTAACTAATGAATTTATTAGTGTTTTTGTGGGATCTACTGACAGATATTTACGTATTTTAGCTATGTTTCTTAAATTAAAATAACTTATTTTGCAAATATTGTTTATGTGATTTTCCAAAGAAAAATTTGAGTTAAAAATTACACCAATATTTCGGGCTGATTGAGAAGGGGCAATGCAGCTATCTCCTGCTTGTATTGACAGATCGAAGTTCAACTTTTTCCTGTTTAAAGACGACCCAATAACCAAATACTCAGTCTTATCTGCATTAAGTTTCAAAAAATTGTTGTTCATCCAGATTTTAATGTCCACAATACAAGTTTCAATACTTAGCTTGGAAATGTCGAAGTCACTTTTGATAGGTTTAAACGAAATGTACAACTGTGTATCATCCGCATATAGATGAAATAATAATCCATGATGTCTTACTATGAGGCCAAGTGGTTTAGTGTATAGACTAAACAAGATCGGTCCGAGGACGGAACCTTGTGGTACACCGGAAGCCAGAACAGAAGGGCTAGAAGATATTCCGTTTACTACAACACTTTGTGAGCGGTTAGTAACATAAGAGCGTAACAGACTCAGAGCGTTTTCAGTAACACCAAAATCAAATTGTAGCCTGTGAAGCAAGATATTGTGGTCTACAGTGTCAAAAGCTGCGGATAAATCTAAGAGAACTAGAAGCACGCATTCACGGCGATCTAAACTCATGTTGATATCATTGTGTACCCGAACAATAGCGGTCTCGGTGCTATGAAACTTCCTGTAAGCACTCTGAAACTCTTCCATTAGATTGTTGTCACTGATATGGGATGTGAGCTGGCTTGCTATTACGCGTTCTAAGG